GGGGTGTGTGTGTGTGTGAGGCTCTCTCCAGGTACCGCCCCAGCGCTCCACGTGACAACAACCCTGGTCGCTGATTGGAGTATCTCTCAAGGGAAGGAGGAAGCAGCTCCTGAGCCCTGGAGATTTGAAGCGAGGGTTGCCTGGCAACGGGGCGGCTTCTCGGAAGATGTGGTTTCCAGGCATTGGGATGATGCTTCAGGCGCAGGGCCTGCAGAGTGTTCGAAAATTCTCACCACCTAACATTCCATACCCAACCTATACTTTCTAGGAAAACGAGGCAAATGCACAATAAATAAATCACCCTGTTTCCTAAGACCCTAGTCTTAAACACTTGCCTGCAATGTGAATGCAGACTCTGGCTGTCTTGCACTTCCCAGCTAGCTCTGTGGGAGGACTCGATGGCCCAGGTTGTTTCTGTTAGTCAAGTTGTGTTCTGGACTCACAGTGGTGCAAAGCTGACACTTTCCCTGTGGAATATTGTTGAATGGCAATGTTTGATATTAGATTCTTCATATGTCTGAAACATCTTCACCCCCTTTAGCCTTTATTCAGCACGCCATAGTAAAACAGAACGACTTCAAAATGTAGTGTATTTAATAACATCAAGGTTTTATTATGTTCCAAATTCTAAATAGTTTTAAATTAATAGTCTACTTCTACAAAGGAAATTCCCTGGACGATGCTCTTATCCTCCTGTGCAATATATTCTTCTCTATTTTTTTCAGCATAGTCTCTGATGAGACCATTCCCCACCACTGCACTTATCTTATTTTGTAAATTAAAATAAAAAGATGAAGTCCTTGTAGACGATAGACTTCGTAGCGAAGAACAATTCTTACAGCTGTTTCATATATTCTAACAAAATGCCAATAAATAGCAAACTAAGTAAATTCAACCTGTGAAGCTCTAAAATAGAGTTATTTAAAAATTATTGAAGGTTACTTCAGATGAAGATGTTGGGAAGAAGATTTCTTCTGGGATACTCAGGGAAACTTCAAGAAGAACACTATTTGAACAAGGACTTAATAGACATCATAAATATAGGACTTCACCCAAGAGAAGAAGAAAGAACAGACAGAATAAAAGGAATAAAAATAGGAAAGGAGGAAGTTAAAGTGTCATTATTTGCTGAAAAAAATATATAACACTCTACATAGAAGATCCAAAAAAGTCTGCCAAAAGACTTCTAGACTTAATTGACAGATTCAGTAAAGTAGCTGGATACAAGGTCAATACTCAAAACTCACTAGCTTTCTTGTACACAAATAACAGACTCACTGAGAGGGAGATTAAGGAAACAATTCCTTTCACAATAGCATCCAAAAAAATGAAATATCTACAAATCAATCTAATGTAGGAAGAAAATGACCACTGCAGTGAAAGCTACAGCACTTTGAAAAAAGAGATCAAAGAGAATATAAGAAAATGGAAAGACATCCTTGCTCCTGGGTGGGAGGAACCAACATGATGAAAATGGCCACGCTTCCAAAACTCCTTTACAAATTCAATGCAATCCCTATTGAAATCCCAACAGTATGTTTATTTCACAGAACTAGAGAAACATCCAAAAATTCATTTGGAACCCAGAAGAGACCTGGAATAGCAAAAGACATTCTAGGCAACCAAGGGTATCACAATCCCAAACTTGAAACTATGCTTCAAAGGTTCCTTTATAAAAACAGCTTGGTACTGGCAAAGAAACAGACCCAAGGATCAGTGGAATAGATTAGAAGATGCAGAAACAACTCCAGATGTGCTCAGCTACCTCAACTTTGACAGAGTAGCCGACCATCCTCACTGGAGGAAAGATACCCTCTTTAGTAAATTGTGTTGGAAAAATGATTTCAACTTGCCAAAGATTAAAACTAGATGCCTTTCACCATGCACTAAACTAAAATTGAAATGGATTAAAGATCTAAATATTAAAGCAGAAACACTAAACTTGCTGGAATATAAGCTAGGTAGAACTCTTGAAGACACTGGCATAGGAAAAGACTTTATGAACAAATCCTCAGTATCACAGGAACTAGCAGAAAGCATCAACAACTGGGATATCATCTTTTTAAAAAGCTTCTGCACTGAGACCACCAACAGAGTTAAGAGACAACCTATAATTTGGGAAAAAAAATTTACCAGCTCTTCCTCAGACAAAGGTCTACTATCTAGAATATATAAAGAACTCAAAAAATCAGAAACCCCTAATGTAAAGACCCAATTCAAAGAATGGCACCTGAAATGAACAGACATTTCTCAGGCAAACAAGTAAAAGCAGCAAATAAATATATGAAAAAATGTTCAAAAGTACTGCTCATTCAAGAGATGTAGATAAAAACAACACTGAGATTCCACCTCACCCAAGAAAGAATGGCTGCTATCAAGAAATTAACCAATAACATGTGCTGGCAGGGTCGTGGGGAGAAAGAAATGCTTCTCCACTGTTGGAGTGCTGACTGGTGCAACCACTGTGTAAATCAACATGGAGATACCTCAAAAAACTAGGAATAGAGGTCCTATTTGACCCAGCTATCCCTCTGCTCAGTGTCTTTCCAAGAGAATTAAAAGAATCATATCACAGTGACATATGCTCACCTATATTTATAGCAGCACAGTGTGTAATAGCTAAAACTTGGAAACAGCCCAGTTGTCCATCAACTGGATACTGGTTAAGGAAGATGTGATTTTTCTATAAAATGGAGGACCTATTCAGCCATAAATGAGAAACTAGAAACTTTTTTAGCTAAGTGGATGCACATTGAGGCCACATGCTTAAGTGAAATAAATAGGACACACATATGTAAATACTTAATAGTTTCTGTGGTGTGAAAAATTAAAAATGTAAATAAGGTTCAAATTGTATAATTGATAATGTGAAATAGGAAGAAAAGGGCTAAAGGAGTAGGGGAAGTGTGAAGTATAGGGGAGGGGAAAGAAGGGATAAGAAAAACATGGAAAAAATGGAAGCAAAGTCTTTGTAAAGAGGGAAGGGTGGCGTGGGTAAAGGGAGGGCAAGGGAATAGGGAAAAAATAAGAACCAAGATACGTCATGCAAAGGTACAACATCCCAATGATGAATGTAACTATACTGTATACCTAAAAACTACCAAAAACTTAATTTAAAAAAGGAGATAATATATAGCAATAGTAGCATTGCCAAAACCACAAGGGGAAGGGATCCACAACTCATTGAACTAATTTAGACTTGTTTCCCTTCTTTGAAGGAAATAAAGTGGGATTCTAAAGGTTGCAAGGGAAAGAGAAGTTGAAAGACTAAACGAGAAAAATAAAATGAGCTCAAAGAAGACACAGAATTCCATATTTAGGGAAGGCTTTAATCTTAAACAAGAGAAAACTCTTGATGTCAGTAAAATCAGAGCTTTTCCTTGAGGAAAGATATATTATATTTGCAGAGAGGTGAAAGATATGAGTAATTGGAAAAAAATTTCAAGTTCATGGAAAAACATGCTGAAGGTCTAAAGAGGATGAAAATAAAAATAGTGAAGAGGGAAGACCACAAAAAACATTTGTTTGAAAATATATTACAATTTTCATCCACAACTAAATTTTACGTTTCTTATTGGTTTTCTTTCTTTTTCTGATAAAGTAGAATCACCTTTTCTTCTCTTGTTATTAAAGCACCTTCTTATTTTATCCAACTATAACTAACTAACATAAAAATGCAATATATTCTAAATTTTCTATTTACTATTATTTAAAAATTTTTATATATCTTGGAATGTGTAGGTACATTTAAAATTTTTAATTGATACATTTTTAATACTAGGAATATAAAGTTTATGTGTTCAGTTATTTATCTATTGATGACAATTTATATAGGTAAATTTTTTTCTATTATAAAATAGAGCAAGCTCTTGTTTTCGTTTCAGATTAAAAAGTGAAATTGTTAACTCATGATTCATAGCATCTTCAAGTATAATCACTATTATCAAATTGCTCTCCATTTATATTGTGACAAATTGTATGTGATGGTTTTCTATAGCCTCACCGATGTCATTTTTTTCATAGTTTTTCTAGTATAATGCTTAGTAAATGACATCTCTGCATGATTTAAATGTATATTTTAACCTCATTTTGTCTCTATAAATTGATTGTTCTTTTCCTTTATTATTTTTATTTAAATTTCCTTCTTGATTTGCAGTTCTCTGCAAATATTCAGGTGGTTAATTTTGTTAGATAAACCCATTGTAAATCTCTCCAGCTCAATTGTAAAAAATTTAGTCATGACTTATTTGAATATTGATTTCACTATCCACTTCTAAAGTTTGAAATGGACCTGTATTAGAGTTAACTGTATCTTTATCACTTTTCTTCTCACACTTTAATCTATGAATTCTGAATGCTTCCTCTACGACTCCCTACGTGATATTTCAACTTAAGATATGTTTTTCTTTGAATACTTTCAAAGTGATAATTCTTACACCTACCCCATCCTTATCACACTGATTTCACTCCACAGCATTGCTTTCATGTAGTCTTACCTGGTGCACGTCTCATCCAATAGATTTATGACTTTGACTCATCATATTGAATTCACAAATGTGTTCATTGAACTTTTGAATTAAATTAAATATATTAATATTCATATTCTCAAAATCATGATTCTCTAACCTGTCTGAAATATTGACTTTGACCCTAGTTTACAAATCCCTGCTGTACTGGTTCATGTTTCTGTAACACATTTGACTTTGCCCAACTAGAAATACCTTGCCTTTGATAAAATGTCCATTTTCACAAACTGAGTTCAAGCTATTGTACTCTTTATTTTCTCTTCCATTCACCTTGGTAGTTCCTTATTACTTTTTTCCAGTTCAATTTGATTTA